CGGGACCTGTCTGGATACGCCACCTACAGCACCGAGTGGTACAACTGCTTTAGTTTAGTACGTTCACAATACATTGACGGTAGGACTGCATGAGTTGCGCAATTTGGGTTTGATTTTAAAGAGCCACACTTATAACTTGCTGCAACTGCGTATGTTCCGTGGGATTATAATAGCAATACGATGAGGTTTTCTCGCAAGTTATATAATGCGCATTCGTGAAATTACTTAAAAAGCTCCAAACTTGTTGGTAGTGAGTTAAGTATAGTAGTTACCATGGTAATCAATAACCTTTGTTTATTCTAGGCAATAATCAAAGGTTATGATTACCATAATGACTACTATAGTTGATTCACTACAAATAACCGATTTGATTACTATTACATATATCAAAATGACTAAATATTATGATTACTACGTTACTTACAAAAACATAATTGTCAAGATTTTCAACATGTAAGATAGGCTTAACCTATTACAACTTCAATTTTGACAATTGTCACCATTTTCTAAAAGAAATAACAAAAAAACAGGGCTCTCCTTCATGAGGAGTTCCGGGAAGAGCCCGGAGTCCCTACACTCCGTCTAAGAGTAGGAACGGAATGGAGCTTGAATACTTCTTTTATAAAATTGATTTTGCATACATTAGTAAAGTATAGCTCATTTATAAAATCGTGACGACGGCGTTTACTGCGGACTTCGTGCCCATAAGCATAAATCGCTCATACAAGAAGGCATCCACTTCAACCTTCAGCTTAGTCACTTTTAGTGTTTAAATATTACCATACGTAAGCAAAAAACCATTCGAATAGAGACGAAAGCCAAGAAAATGCGATTTCCGGAAGTGGCGTAGCGTTTCAAGCGCGGTCGCGCCATCGTCACGATTTTTTGAATGCCCTATACCATATTGTACACTTTTGTGAATTACTATTTCTGTTTCATTACATTTGATTTACAAAAGCCAACATCATTACATAGACAATGTATAAAATTCTCCAATGTGGAAAATCGCTGAAAGACTTTTGAGATAGATCAACGAACACTAGTCTAAATGACTGGAAAAACTGATTTGCTACAGAGGATATGGCACATTGGTCTTCTCTGTAGCAAATGATGAGTTGACGATATCTATCCAAATTTGTCTTCATTTGGTTCACAGCAAAAATGCAAAAACAAGAGCTGCAAAACGCTAGTCATTACTTTAGAAGCCCAAAGACGCTGAAACTGTTTAGCTATGGCGATGCCGAGCCAGAATATTATCTACTGAAAGCTATGGAGAGTGTTTGGTTTTACAATATAAAAAATTTTGAATTCAAAGATACAGCAATTGGAGACGAAGATGTCAAATTTGACACTTCCAGTAACGCGGATTTACGCAGTTACGCAAATGTGAGCAGTCTATTGGTAAAAAATTTTACGCTTCTATTCTTATGAGTGTTCCAGCTTGTGCGAGAAGATGTAACAGAAATCGGCTGTACTCAAGTTGTATGCGCTGCCGAATATAAAACAACGTCATTGTGCTTACTCAACCAGGAGTAAGTTTGAATTGCACTTACTTTGATTACTCGTGATGTGGGCACTTGATGAGTTGGGCAAAAATGGATGAGAGCGCTTCCATATGTTTAAGAAACATTTTGGACATGAACTACCCAAAAAAACACTGTCTCTCGAGAAGAAGGCGATGTCTGTTCTGGCTCCTTCAAGTAATTAGGGCTACCACAACTAGCTGCACTAACGCAACTTTTTCCAAATCCAATTAGAGAAATTGCTTTACACCAGCGTTCCAACGAGATTCCCTGCAAAGTTATTACGTATAGAGACAATCGTGAATTCCTTTTGACATTGACGAGCTCGCCTAGCCAAAGCTGCGCGTCATGTTCGCACTGGTGTTGCTGAGGCCCTTGATTTGACTCCTCGACCGGAGGTCTGCGCGCAATGTCCTTGCCAAGCGTGCTTCTTACGCAAAAGACCACGTATCGACACAGACTTGTAGAAAAAATTATTTCAATGTAGTTGTAAACCTGCTGAAAAACTCTAGAAACTCTAGTAGTACCATAGCTGTTTGTGCCCAAATGGTGGTAAGCTTCTCCAACCTAGGGAGTTGGCAGATTCTGCTACGGTTTACCACATTCGTGGCACGACAACTACCACTACAACAACCACAACAACTATGACTGCCACTACCACTACCACTACACCACTAACGACAACCACCACCACAACGACCCCAGCGACGACCACAACCACTCCAGCAACCACAACCACTCCAGCAGCAACAACAACGGAGGCTAGCACGGAAACGGAGGCGGCGACGAAAGGAACCACCTCCTGTATTCCAAGGCGCAAAGCAACCAGGGTAACAACTACGACAGCAGCTTCAAGTGCTCCACCACAGCATCCAGCTGAGCTTCCCCCAGCCTCAGGAGGTGAGTTGAGTTCCACCTGCGCTACAAATACCTTCTTTTTTCGAGGAAAATTCACACATTTTATTTTGTAAAGTGAATTAATTTCGAGAGAACAGCGAGAGCAAATGCTAGGAAGAGTTATGGGCTTGAATGCTCTACATTCTGTCTGAAATCATTTGAAAAAGAAGTAAACAGCTTAGTTACCAAAAGGATTGGAAGTGTCTTGCAGAAATGATGGCTTACTCAATTCAAAATCCACTATAAATTCTAATGTAGTCCTGTGAGGTGCAGACCTTCTTTCTATTTTATCACAATCATTCAATTTGATTTGCAACCTATTCTCTAGTCCAAGGCACACAAATGTGTTAAACACATAGATATAGAACTTGTAAGAGAAAGACTAAACTGGTCGCTATCAACGTGGGATATCTTGATTGTCAGACTAGAGCATCCACCACAATAATCACCCCCCCCCCTTCTTGAGAAACGCGAAATCTTGGAAAGTTACTTGCTTGAGTCATAAAAATGTGCAAGTGACTTATCTACAACTGTAAATAATTAAAATAATTTTCAAAATTCGAAAAATCAAAGTAGCCTTGCAAAAAAATTTTGCGGGTGCCGGAGCATAATTCTAGATCAAAAGTTTTGGGAAGGATCTCTAAAAATTTCTGAGTGCTTAGCTATCTTCCTCCCCCCCCCCTCGAACGGAATATTGGAGCCGCCACTAATCTTGTATATGGGCTGAGGTCACCAAAAGTACTTCCCCTGTAAGGTCAAGAGATTATTTGAGGAAAAGGAAAAGCATGACTTTGTTTTGCATGTGCTACCTTATGTAGTTTTCCAAGAGGCATAACGTAAGTTCGGATCTCCCAAGTTTTTATCACTCATTGTAAACAAGACATTTGTCAACAAGGCACAATTTTGTATTCTCCCTTTACTATCGGAAGCATGTCAAGCTCGAAATTGATGCTTTTGTGCGAATTTGGACTGGTAGGCAGCATGGCGGTCGCGGGATTTCCGTCCCGGGGGGGGGGGAGGGCAAAATTTTTTTCTCAAAAAGGTGCATGGCGTAAGTCACGCACTCTGGAAATTTTTTAGGGGTGCTTCTTAAAATTTCGACGGGTCCACGACCTCTAGCGTGGCGGCAGTCACGCCCCCGAAAACTTTCGTTTATAAACATAAACAAGTCACTTGCACATTTTATAACGTATGTAAGTAAATTTCAAAAATTTCGCGACCTGAAGGGGGCCCCCTCCCCCCCCCCCTCCGCCCCAGGTCCGCCACTGGTAGGCAGCGATAAGCAGGTTGGATGTCTACGAAGGTAAAGAGATTGATTTATGGATGTACGGCGCATAATCATGCTTCTGTAACAGTTAGTTCATAAAGTTAAGTCTGGGAGGGTTGGAGATAAAATTTTGCTGAATTAAGGGAAACCAGAACTCCGAAGAGACTTACACAGCTCCAAAGAATTTAGGATCGCTCTAGACTATTGATGATTTGTTGAACTATTTTGAAACGATATTTCGAGTGGAATGCGACAGCGCAAAAAATTGTTCGCTTATCCCCCAAACATATTCAATTTGTCAGTGTGGTCTGTGCTGAACCCTCCCTGCATTTGAAAAACAGTTGCGGAGCACCAAAAAATTCTGCGTGGCTTCACGACGTTGTTACGACCTATCTTACCCTCCTTTAAAGGCAGCGTCCAGGTAAGATCCATCCACCCGAATTAGCATATAGTTGCAAAAAGGGCCATGTATCCGACCTGCGTTGGTCCGATCCTTTGACGTGGCCTCGAAAAGGAGATATGGGCCTGTGATACGTATCAGAATCAGAAATTGCCCCTTCGTATCACAAACCACCTCTGAGGACGAGTGCTCACGCAGGTGTGCAGTTGCATTGCAGTTGCACTGCACATGCAATGCAACTGCATCCGTGCAGTGCAGCTCCTCAAGCTGGCATGCGATGGGGACGAGCAATCCGAAACTCCTCCGCTTCTTGAGAAGAGGGTCCCCAAGAATCGGGTTTTTTGGGGGTTTTGAACAATTTGGACTTCACGACTGTAATCAGGGCCACGGAAAGGCCCCAGAATGGCAACATGAGAGGCGAAATTTTGCCCGGGCGCTGCCTTTAACACTTCAGGACCGAACAAAGGATATTCGCAAGACGCCGGAGTGCATTTGGCTTTTTTGAAAGCGAATTAAGCGCTGAAAAAAAATCAGGATTTACTATACACTACACGGTATCAAAATCATGCACACATCATTTGATCGTTGATAACTCTTTTGTTTGGCGGACCTTTGGGCATTATTTTGTATAGCTTCACTTGGATCTACAAACGGGTCGTCAGTTTCTTTACATTTGAATCAAGGGAACTTAAAAGCGATTTTTACCATGATTAGAGTCTTGTTCAGAAAGGTATCAGAAACTTCAAAAGCGCCCGTCACTAGCTTGATTACAATTCACAATACGCGCATAGTCGTTGACAAAAGCAAATAGTTAGTTTAGTTAGTTAGTAAAAATCCTGGGACACCCGTGTACATCTGTTTGGTTTGTAAAACCTTGATATTTGCTACATTAACTGTGTCCATTTGATCTGATATGGCTGTAGGATCAAACGAGAGATGCCCAGAAAACACTGGAATGCACGATACTCTTAGAACCAAATTTTTGGACATGCACAACTATCGCAGGTAAAGATAAGCGCTGTTTTTTTTGTAGCATCCGTTTTTCACTTTGATTGTCCTTATCTTCAGATCACAACTGGCGAAAGGATTGGTTGCCAAACGGAACGGAAATTATTTACCTCAGTCATCCGACATGCAAATAATGGTTGCATAACTATGTGTGAGTGTAATAAGCACAAGATCATGATATCTCATCTTAGAGGTACAACTGCGCACTAGAAAAAGAGGCCATTGATTACGTGAATACTTGCCCGTCATCTAAATCAGCTGAGTCCACTCGACCGGATGTGGGAGAAAATTTCATCCGAGTTCCTCAAGATGGTTTGGCAACGTATTTGCTTGCCGTTCAAAAGGTAAACTTCCAGAGGTGAAGTAAATTCCCAGGCAACCAATGGTTCAGGCGGTAACTTCATGGTGGAAAGTGATACGCACTGAAGAAGGACCTGGTTTACAAGTTTACTTCCGACAGAAGCACGTTGGCACTCCGATTGAGTCTTTCACACAGGTGAGTAATATTGCTCGTAGTGGAATCACTTCTGGACTATTTGTGTCACGCTGCTGAAGCTAAAACTGAAAACATTATTCTAGATGGGGTGGTCTACGTCACGCAAGCTTGGTTGCGCCATCGCAAAATGCGGTAGCGACTATGTCGCAGTTTGCAGATATTCTCCCAGGTAAGATCACAAAAGCTTTTATTAAATCCTGTGAGCTCATGTACTTTTTTTTTCAGAGGTAATTATGTGGAGCAGGTCATCTACAGAAAAGGAACACCCTGCACTGGTTGTGTACGTGGCTCATGGTGTACGGAAGATGCATTGTGCATTCTCGATTGAAGTTTGCATTTGCTAGATTTTCGATGCATTGTGGCATCGTACACTGCATCAGCGCTGTCTTCTTTCCTGATTCATATCTATAGGACATTTCTTCAATGCTTTCTCTCACACATCTGAGATGATTAAACTTTTTCAAGCACTACATTCAGCGCATTAGCATTTAATGACAGAAAAATGGTGAGAAATCGCACTCCTTTGTAAAAGTAAGAGACAACTTCAAAGTACATATTCTCAGTGTGTCCTCCATGCAGCTAAAGGCTGCGAAAACTGTGGGTGTTTGTTTAAAGGCAGCGTCCACCCAGATTTTCGTCTTCAATGTTTTCGTCGTTTTAGGCCTTTCTATGGCACTGTTTCTGCATATGGGTCTAAATTAAGTCGAAACTAAAAAAAACTCCTTTTCTGGAACCTTGATTGTTGTGCGTGGACGAGTGTTCCGGCGTTTTTCCCGTCGCATGCGACAGCAAATGTCGCCGTATGTAATAGGAATATAGTTGCACAGTGAGTGCCTCGACTGTGTTGCCACGTCAGAACGCTTCAGGAGGTCGTCCGTGGATGGGCAGAGCGCAAAAAAAGGGAGAGAAGCGCAAAAGGATTCTACAGGCTCCAGGTCCATCTTCTTCTTTTGAAAACAACATCAGAGGACTGGACCAACGCACTTGGTCTTCTTCTAGGGCACACTCATACAATATATAGTTGTCTGAGCACTGTGGATTTTGGGTGTACGCTGCCTTTAAACCAGAGGGTGGTGGGAAGGGATGATACGTGCACAGCTACACATCAGGCGGAAGTGATCGACCATAACAAACCTTCCCAATGAACTCACATAACGGAAAATTGGCTGAGAAGGGACGTGCCAGAGGACTTTCATGAAACTATTCTGTGAGAGTGTTTCTTTATCGATCGATATCTGATGACAAAATTCTTATACTCTGTAAGTAAACCTCAATTGTCTGAAAAGTTAAACACTGCTGCGGGACGAAAGCGCAAAAGCAGCAGTAGCTGAGCGGGCTCAGCACGCTTCCGCGAGTATCGTCACCGTTGTAGAATAAGTGTCTTCCATGCGTTTTGTTGCAGTAGGTCAAAGTTTGACTTCTTTAATACCAAAACTGCATTCGGATCTGATGAGATGTTGAATATGAGGAAATTTGAAGTTGTCAAACTACCAGCCCATAAATGCTCTCGCAATTTCTGTGTTAGGGACGCTATCTTAAAATGCTGGTTCCAAAAATTCGCAAAACATTGCCAAAATAACATTTTCATTGTGACGGTAGGATCTGAGGTGTTCCGTGGGTACAAGTGTCATTCTTACAACAATGGCTAAAATTTCTCCTAGTAGCGCTAGAGCTACATCCCTCATATGAGGTGACAATACTAGTAGATTTCCGTATACCTACCTCATGATGGATCTCTAATGCTCGAGAGAATCTGTATAAACAAAGCTGAATGTTGTTTGTATGATGTGTCTGTATGTCTGGACGGAGACACACACATGTTCCGAATGGAAATTTTTACTTCTGTACCGTTTCGCACCAAACTTGAAATACATACACTTCGGGGCGGGGAGCGTGTCGTAGACTAATTTTCGTCGTTGATCGATTGATGTCATTTTATTGCAAAGTTTCACCTAGAGGCTGAGAATTGGCAGAGGGAGTAAGTGAGCCTGCTGATCACGAAAATATTATTGACAGGGTCAGGAGGAGCCGGGTTTGCGAGCTAGTCTTTAGTGAATGAGCCACAATTCAAACGATCTTTTCCCTTTTTTTGCTATGCTAGCTTCAAAATACTGCCAAAAAGATGCCCCAATTGGCAAAGCGTTGTCCAATCTCCATCATTATAACGAAATCTGAATCTCCGAAAGTTTCCCTCGCTCAAGGCAATAGCCATAAGACAAAACAGGACAAGTGCTTGGGATTTCTTCTGCGACCTGATGCTTAGAGCAATTATACCTTGAATTTGCAATCAAACGAGGAGTGGCCTTTGCGGCCGTTGGACTCTGTATGCCTTCTGCAAACAGAAAATGGTTGTGCTTGTGACTAGAATTCGTGGAGAAGGTCAATGAAGAATGTGAGCATGGTAAGAAGGTATTATCAAGATGTCAAGAAAACAAGGTCGTTGCTTGCTTGCTTTAGCAAAGCACCAGGCTCATCATAAATACAGTTAACGGGTATTGTTCGACAGAGCAAAGCAATCCCTATAAGCTGCATTAATGTTTTCGCGTCAGGTTTGATCCACGGAAAGTTCGAACTCAAAATCTAAAGGGCTCTAAATGCTTAAAAAATCGAAAAAATAGGAGCTCGTCGAAATAACTTCTACGGAGTTCTCACTTGCTAAGTCCATATTTCAATATCAGACATTCATATGCGCATTTGCTGTACATATTTCTTCCTAACTAGAAACTGAGAATACGAAAATTTTCGCGTTTTAAAGCGGGAGAGATCAGAATTGTACATTATGCAGTCCATTTTTGATTTGTCCTCGCGAAAGGATAAAAAATGAAATCAACAAGTTGAATTTGACTACCGCTGTTGTTCCAACCAAAAGCAATGCTTCACTGTTAACACGTTTCGGACCGCGAAATCGCGCGCGGCGAAAAAGAGGGTACTTTTAGCCGTTAGCCAACAAAGGGACCTTATTTTCCAGACTGTGTGCTACATCTGTAATCAGCATGTCAGATAACAGCGATACCCAAAGTTCTAAATGAATTCGAAGTGTTTGAATTTTGTCGCTTGAGAAGGACTTCCGTGCTTTCTTGAAAGATAGAAACAAGAACTCAGTTTCTAACTGTATCCAAAAGTGTCTATGCTGTACACGATACACATCATTATTGAAATCACGGTTTTTCTCATTGAATTTGAAGCAAAGAAAAGTTGCGACGTCGCACGCGTCGTTCGCATTGCCGCGCTTCGTTGCAACTGTTGTTCGATTTGTCCTCATATCTTCTAAACAAAGATGCGCGGCACAGCTCTACAGAGTTATTTGAAAAGTAGGAGCCTAGGCCTTTGACTTGATAACCTTGGACAAAAAGAAAACCTCCAGTAGAGTTTAAAAAGACCCTTCAAAACCGCGTGCTGCACCATGTGCAGCACCGGTCCGAAACGTGTTAAGATCAGTGAATATTGGGACGCGGTGGGACAGGCTTACAAGCAGAACAGCTAAGACGAATTTTGTAATAATTAATGAAGACATCTGCAACTAGCACTGCCCCTAAAGGGGGAGAAACGCAACGCACAATGAGGCGAATGTTATAGGCTCAGACACACCAAAACTTATTTGAGAAGAAATTGTTGAGAACTATTTAATGCTTTTCGCAATGTGATTGAAATGACGATCTTGAGTATCTCAATGATTACACATTCTTTCTTCATTTCTGCCAAACATCCAGGAAAGTTTGCTTTACTGTTTGCCAAGCATGTCACATTCAATATCTCTTCGCACAGAAAATGTTGCTAACCGAATTCTGCTTGTTCGCTGTTTCATATCATTGAAAAATTGATCTGAAATGTGAGCAAAGCCTTCAAAGCCGCTTAGCGAGTGGTACGAATTCGTGATCAGCACTTTACCGATGAAATAGAAAGCAGCCTGAGGTGTTTGATTTATCTGAGCATGAAAGAAATGATCTAGTATTAATGATGACTGACGTTTTGGAACACAACGATTTTCTCCGATTTGGGTAGCAGTAGCTATACGCATGAAACTCTGCCAGTTTGGTGTCGTCAAAACAGCAGACATCACCTTTTAAAACATCCTCTAGTGTCTTCGCTCAAGAACAAACAGGATTCAACTTATGGGCTTTGCCGAAAGTTTTAGGCTGTTTGCAAGTAGTAAGCTAAATCTGGCGTATTTTTTCGCGGGTCTCCTTTCAACAAAAGCAAGCTCTTCTTTCTTGCTGTTACTACGTCATACGTATGATTGTAAAGATACGTGCATTATAACTCTACGTAATAGCTATAAAATAGTGTAACCCAAAAAACTACACATAATCGAAAGGGTTTTTGTTGAATACAGTACAGCAACTTAATAAAAAAAACTTTCAACGTGTAGTACGATACAAATAACTTCACAAATTCAATTCTACAAAACTAATCGTACATTCAGGATCAGGCACGAAATCGCTTCTGGGACTTTTATAAACAAAGTTTCAAGTGAACCTGCACAATTACGAAATTCAATAAATTAATGTGAAATGTGAGAGCTTTTGCTGAGCACCTTAGCGTACAGGACTTCCAAAAAAGTGTCTACTGTTTGATCGTTGTAAATCTCTTGTTTTGATCTCCTTCTCCGATCTTTAGAATTCATTTCGTCGAACAGGCTTCAACATAAATTTACTGCATGGAGAGAATCAACTATCACTCTTCGTTACTGTAGGATTACGATAGGACTTCCGGAGAGGGTTTTCGGTCATTGAGGGCCTTATTTCGGTTCGGAAATCATATCAAACAAACTGAAAACTCTAACACCAGGCTAATGAGGGCCGCTGACACCGAATATAAACTTGCGCCTTTCCGCAGTGCTTCGTTCATAAGTTATACCAAGACTCTTCAAACAATGCTCTCTAAGACTGTGATCACACCATTCCAAAAGTTTTGAAGTCCCATGACAAAACCAGCGCGCATGAATTGCCTGTCTAAATGCTTTGGGATTTTTTTCCAAACCGCGTATAATCCACAATGACGCTTTGAGCTCAAAGTTCACCCTACACCTAGTTAACCCTACATTGTTCCCTAAAGAAGAGCGATCGACAACTCGCCCATACTGTAAATCTTGGTTGAAACCAGCTCTATAAAGTGGTGCCTACAGCTTCTCGAAAGACTTTTGACCAAAGGACTACTAACATTCAAACGGTAGGCACATTTTTGGACACCCTGTATAACTCTGAAAATCCGTCTCTACCTTAGCGTGTTAACGAGAAAGCAATTTAAGGCGAAATCCCACTAGTCAGATAATCGCCGGGGGTAGGCGGTCGGCAAACTCGCGATTTTCTGCAAGCGGTCAGCAGAATT